ACAAAGATATCATCCGATATCTCCAAGGTATGAATTTACGAGAGGGTGCAACCAAACAAGTTAGGACACGAATTGCACATAAGAGTCGGTCTTACACTTTGATTAGTCTACTTTTATATTTTTGCGGAAGAGACGGTTTACTCCGACGTGCGATGGAAAGAGCAGAAATACCACAGTTGTTACGGAAATTTCATGAAGGGTTTTGTGTGGGACATTTTGCGAGACGCATTACAGTGGAGAAAATCTTGGCGGCCTAATACTATTGGCCAACTTTGTTCAAGGATAGTTTTGACTATTGTAAATATTGTGAGATATGTCAAGCATTCGTAAATAGGTCTACGGTTAGTGGCGACTTGCATCCCATTCCTCCATTAGACCCATTAAGAAAATGGATTATAGATTTGATGCGACCTTTGCTAGTAACAAGAAGTGGACACCGTTTTATTGTAGTTGCCACAAATTATCTGACAAAGTTTGAGGAGATTCGGGCTTTGAAGACTTCGGTCAAGACATAGGTAGCACGATTTCTATATGAACAAATCGTTACTCGCTTTGGCATTCCGTTAGAGATTTTCTCTAATAACGAACCTCAATTCACAAATGATGTGTGGGAAAATTTAATGGAATTAAGCATATGTTTACAACTATGTATAAACCAAGTACAAACAGATTGGTAGAACGGACAAACAAGATAGTATGTTCTCTGATTGCAAAGGAAGTGGAAACTAGGGCGAACGCGAGCGATTGGGATTTCAAGATCCATCATGCAATGTGATTATATAATTCAACATTAGGAACGGCTACATGATTCTCTCCATTTCATTTAGCCTATGGCATGGAGGCTTTACTTCCGAAAGAATACGAATTGATGACACTTCACATCACTTTGAACGGACGTTTGGATCTAGATGAGTCACAATGAAGAAGGCTTATACAACTTAATGAATTGAATGAGGTTCCAATTGCGGGCAAGGCAGTCAATTGAGGTGGCTCAAGCAAAAATGAAGAAGGCGTGGGATGCGAAGGTAAAGAAGCGAGTGTTCAAGACCGGAGACTTGATGATGTTATACGATTCACGACACTTTTGAAGGACTCACAAGAAACTGCTACCCAATTGGTTTTGACCATATGAGGTTAACGAGGTCTTTGCGTCAAATGGCACTTACTCCTTGCTCAATTTAGACAGCACAAAATATAGAGTTAATCATGATAAATTGAAGAAAGCTCATGTAGAAATGTTTGACTAGTAAAAATACGAGTACAGATTTTCCTAGAAGTGTGAGGTGAATGTTAGATAGCTGGGAAGCTTCTAGACTTCCTCTATTTGTTTGTTACTGGAGATTAGTCAGTCGGTAATCTTCCACCGAAGATAGTAGTATCGGGGGTTTTGCTGGAAACTTACTCGTATCAGGTAGTGGGGATCAAGGGGGTAAAAAAAGAGCTCGCTCGTGTGATTAGGTACCATTTGATACATTCTTCAGATGCACTAGTCGAGAAGGTGTCAAAGTCATCAGTAAGGTCGGACCTTGTAGTAAAGCTGGGTGGTTGTGTTTGCATCCAAGGTTTTAACAGACATTTTGTAATGTACTTCCTTGGCATTCCTAGACGGACCCACATAACCTCTAGGATTAGTTCTCGTCGGACCAGAGCGCAAAGTGTGCCATCTCAAACGCGAACTATACAGCACAAAAGTCTTGAATATGAGCAAGTTTGAAGCAGGGTGGTGCCTAGTTTTTTTCGTTTTTCTTTAAAAATCAACAAAACTAAAAGATATTTGTCTAGAAAGTAGTTGTTAGAGTTAGAATGAGCAGCTCCTGAGGAGAAATGATAGAATTAGTTAAAATTTGTCTACGTCCGAAGATCTTCGGATCTTCGTGTCTTTGACGCAGCCTTTTCTGGACGTGCGAAGAGCTACGTCTTCGGCGAAGACATCAGAATCAATTTCAAATCACGTAACGGGCCGGACGACGTTCGCACGCGTCGGCAGTTCTATTGGGCGCGGGAGGAGGCAATGTTAGGGCTTTGAAAGTAAAGGCAGTACGAGGAGTCTTCGCGCCGACATTGTGATATCGAGCAAGAACGAGCGAGAGAGAGAGGAAGCAAAATCGATCCAACTCGCGAGTAGCGAAACGCAAATTGAAAACATGGCAAGGAAAAGTGAGGAAATTGGCCTGGCAAGTAGGGTTCTTTGAACGCATCTTGAAGGGACAGCGGGTACATTGAGCAAGGATCTTTTACGATCTTGTCTGGGTGAATGCGAGCTACCGGTGGACGGGACCTTTGACCAATCACATCACTCCTTTTCTGGTGAATTTCTATCGAGGAATGGGGTTGTTTACGAGGGAGATGGAGAAGAGATTTCCGAGAGAGCGGAAAATCTTGACAGCCGATTCAAGTGAAGGGACCGAAGACGATAACTGACTCCCCTCAATCCCAACACATACGACAGCCCGAGAACCAGTTTAGGTGGACGTGGTGCAGAGACAGGTGAAGCCAGAGAGACGATTGGCGAAGAGAAGGAAGGCAGTGAGTGATGACGAGGAAGAATTGGCCCACGAGGTAAGAAGGGTGGACATGGATGTAGATGGAGCGAGGCAGCCGAGAGCACGCGCAAGATCAAAGAAGAGAGCGAATCGTAGAATGGTGACAGCTGAAGTGTCGGACAGCAGCGTGGAGAAGACAGTGGCACCAATTGTGAACACATCCGAAGTCGCAGCTAGCGAGGTGACGCGGCCTGTGGAGATAGGAGGACCTTCGGGGGTGTCAATCGAAGTTCCAACAGACATACCGGCATAACGGAGTTAATTTCTCTGTCTTCGGAGCAGACACGGTCTGCGCGGGGCGAAGAAACACCACAACTAAAGATGAACGAGGACGTGGAGAAGGAATCCACTTTGAGCGAGAAGATTCTGGAGCAGGTTATCGCACACATTGGAGGGACGGTGGTAGAGGCTGAGGGCATTACACTGCCTACATCTCCGGTGGAAGAGGTGAGACCCGAAGAAGGGAAGAAGGCTTCGGGTGAAGACGTGAAAACATTGGAAGTTACATTTCCTAAATTCTTGCAGGATAGTGTAGTTCGGTTGTTGAAGTATTTGGATAGTAAGAGAGGGAAGTATGATGTATCGAAGGAGCCAAGATTTTATGTACATATGATTAGGAATAGGACGAAGCTCAAGAGAGCAGTTGCAGTAAAGAGGGAGTGGGATTTCGCGACTGCATTGGCACCGAAGCTAACTGCAACCTTGTCAACTGAGTGCGCGGCAGTGAAAGCGACATTGCGGAATCGAGATGTCTAGCTTCGAGAGAAGGAAACTAAGTGTGAAGTGCTGCAGTTGAATCTAGAGAAGGAATCCGGGCGATGTGCAGAGTTAGAAGAGACATGTGGAGGACTTCGTATCTCTAATGAGAATGCCCAGAAAGTAACAGTGGATTTGATAGCGAGATTGGAGAAATCCAGAGAAACTTACGATGCAGCAGTCAAAAGGTTGGAGCGGTTGATCACTACAGCGGAGAAGCGAGAGAATAATTACATCGAGGAACTTGCTAAGTTGGAGGCCCGAAAAGCCGAAGAAGTTAGTATCGTCACACAACATCTCATCTCCATATCGGGCTGTAAATAAGCTCCACGGAGTACATCCATACATTATGTATTTATTTACTTATTTACAGCCCGATATGGAGATGAGATGTTGTGTACCTTCGCATACATTCAATTGGACTTTGGCACAAGTTGGCAATGGATCTGCTGCTTTCACTGCGATGCCTTTACGTGTCCTATCTATCTACTGAAAACAAATTGCCCTCAGGCTTAGAAACATGAACCGATGAAATGTCGGTCGAGGTGGTTCACGCGTAGGTCCTCCGCCTGCTGGATCGCAATTTATCGCACCTCATGATCACGATCAGTATTTGGTTGGTATTTTTGGTAATTCTTGTTATGAGCTAGAGTGCCATTCCACTTTGACCTCGAGCATGGATTTCTGATATTGCCTTCGATTGAAACATGAGTCATACCCTGCTACCCATGAAGGAAGGCCGTGTGAAAGGAACATGCACGAAGCATGTCGGCGTGCGGTGCAGCGCTTGCAGGCAAGTTGAAATCTGATTTCTGAAGTCCAAAGAGGTGCATAGATCAAAAAGGTCTGCATGGTGTTTCAGAATGAATGTTAAGCCCTACCGTGTCTCCATCAAGCAAAAGCGTCGTCAGCAACATAGATTGTACAGATGAAGAAATTTAGGGTCACTTCTGTGTAGCATTTGGCTCTTGAGTTGGTAGAAATGCAGTTATTCAAAGTTTCTTGCTTGAACATGCGGACATTCGAGCTCTTTGTTTACGCAAATGGTCCTAAGAATTATTTTCTTCGATGCACTTGGCTGGTCCGAGCTGGCTTTCGTGCTAAGTATCGGCTGACGTTGTTCTGAACTCTTGTGGGCAAGAATGGGGATCATCTCACGCCGTTATTCGGCCGTGATGACCTAGCGTGAAACCTCTCTAGCCAGCCTCGGTGAAGTTGTCCGGTGAAGAGAAGATCTAGCTTACATCCAAGCTAGCGAAGCACAGGAAATTTCGAAAACTTTAAAACGATGCGTCCAGGTAAGATGGATCAATGGGCAGTGAACATTGCACGCAAGTCATGTCACTATAAGTACAGTACATATACTTATATATATACATATACTTATATATCCATTACTATAAGTACAGTACATCCATAAATTGTTAAAAATGATCTGTTCTGAAATTTCTTTTATTCACGAACAAGAAGTTAGCTATACTTTCGAGACATGATAAACTTCAGCAAATCCCTTATTCCTGCGTAATGCTGAAAAGAACGTCGTGATTTGGGTACCAAGTAGTGATGTCACTTTTTCCAATTTGCTCACTCTGGCGAGTAGTTGCCAAAATTCCATAACTGAGAACTTAGAAACATTCACGTCAAGGAGATATAATAGTAGGCCATTTCCAAAGAGATATAATAATCACATGAAAAAAAAGAAAAATCTCATTTATTTACTATTTCTTGAACTACAATCATATATTGATTTATTATTGATAATCTGAAAAGAGAGCTCTTCCAGAAAAAATACTTCAATGTTATAGTTATAGCTAAACAATTACATATTTGCATGCACGATATCCATGCAGACATCGATAGCATGCTCCACAACAGGTGGTGCAAGCTATCGGTTACTATATAGGATAGCTATAGTTAACACGTCTCGAAGTAACTAAGCAGAGTGTGAAGCGATCGGTCTGCTCCACAATGAGGTGTATTTGGATCAATCGATGATGTCCAAGAATGCAACGAATCTAGTCAAGCCCATTGTTGAGCCTGCTCTCCCACACTATGGCTCCTGTGCTGTGATACAAGATGATGTTGCCGTCATCCATGTTGAACTCCATCCTAGTTGCTCCTGCAGATCCAGTTCCTGTTGACCATACCTGCAAATCGAGGTACAAGACGAGCTTCAGCACGAGACACTCTCACTCTTAGTTTTTGGCATGGCAAACTGCGGCAAGCATTCATTGATCAGGCTATCAGTATTCTGCTGTGTCTGTAAAGGAGCAGTAGAAGAACACTGTTTCCGAATCTGCGGGCATCGGCAAGCCGGAACGAAAAACCTGGACTTTCGAAATTCCTAACTCGGTCAGTACCGGCTCAGAATCTGTGAAGAGATCGAGCAGCTTACCAGATTTCCAGCTGAATCTTTCAGATCCAAAGACCCGTTGCTCAGAATGCTGAGCGTGGCACCTTCGTCCACGGTGCTGGTTGTGATGCCCTTGGCCCGGAAGATGACAGAGCCCGCTGTGTTGTTACTCGGGTACCACTTGTAGATTGACAGGTAGAATGCACCGGGCGCATACTTCTCGAAGCCCAGAGCGTAGATGTCATTGTAGTCGTAGGCGATGATGTTGCGGTCAGATTCACTGAAACCTGCAACGTTCATGGCATACGGAGGATGGTTGTCGATGGTCACCCCAGTGGCCAGATTTGTGCAGATGGCATCACCACGTTCCTGGAAGTTCCATTCGAAGATGTTGCTGCCCTGAGCGCTCGCCTGAGGTGCGAAGAGTAGAACTGTCCCTACCCCCAGGAGCACCAGAAGAAAAGATCGCGTCATATTGTTAGACTGTTGATCGTTACTTCGTCTGAAGATTATGCGATTGCTTCACTCTTTCCGTCTGGATGCTAAGGGTCCACGAAGTGAGAAGCCGAATATGTTTTCCTTCTAATCCTTCTGACGCCTACTTATAGTACCTGTCTCATAAGCGATACGTTACCCCGAGGTCGAGGTAGAGTTTCCTTGTCTGGTTCCGACGTAAGGTCCTTCGATGGAGCACACGACTGAGCCCGCAGTTGACTTGTGGTGAGAGTCAAAGTACATACGACAGGTTTTCTCAGTAAAGCATTAGCTCTGGGTGGAAGAACCACTTTAGTACAAGCTTCCTGCCTTCTTTCTATCGTCTCCCTCGCCAAGTCTCAGGCTGCATGGGCAGCGACAGCTGTATCATCAGAATTGAGAAGGGGAGTCCACAATTACAGATTTTTTCGTTCCAAATGTCTCACCGTGCTATTTTCAGAATACGTGAGTCTGGCATGCCATCTATGATGGTGTAAGTCTGCACAGTCTCATGTTCAGTGTGGAATGGACATGTCATTAACGACGAGTGGATCCACAGGCAACTGCTGAATCATACATTGCGCCTTGAGTGCAGCGGGAATCACAATCTAAAATACACAGCATGCGTTCATGTGAGCTGTACCCTATAGGTTACCATTATCCTTTGTTTCTAATGAAGTAACTTTTAATTGTATATGAATTTTACGTTCAATATTTAACTGTAACTGATGCATGTTTACATTTTAATAACTATGTTTAGAAGTATTATATTCATTGTTTACAAGATCATACATTTTAAACAAAAAATGTAACACGTTTTCATATATATAATATCTAATTTATAATAAATTTAAAATATTAAAATTTAAAATATTTTTATTAAATTTAAATAATAATAATTTGATATATATATATTAGTAAATATTTACATATCTAATTGATTCATAAAAGATAAAAATAATTTAATTTAGATAATTTCCATTGTTGCAAGTTATTTTCCAACTGTAATAAAAAAATTATTGAAATGGTTAAACTTTACCCTGTAATATTTCTAGATTAAATTTCATTAATTAATGTTTCAGTAACAAGTGATAAATCAACGCACATACAATATACCCTGAAGATGATTACAATGAAATTAAGCTCAATAAACCATTCCGATCAGAATTAGAAGTTATTACATAGATATGTAAAGAATATCAAGAGTATGTATCTTCCACGCAGTCTCAAAATCAATGCTGTCAGTTGTCCATGAGAAGAGGAAAGTTCTGGTACTGCAACTAATCGTCAGCAAAAGTTGCGGAACGAACGGTGCTATTAACGGTAGGAAGATCCAGTCAGTCCAAAGACTTGATATGCATTGGGCGTAGGTCTGAGCTATCTGGCAATGGAAGTCGAAAGTCTCACGAAAGCAGCTCAGGCTTATGCATTTCACAACAGAATTAAACTCGATCCAGATTGCTTTTGGCCTTCCGACCAGAGTTCAGCTGGATCAGACTGCATCAGTGATGGTTGTTGAGCATTATTTGCGGCGTAGATTTCGACGACAGCCAATTTTGAGAAATAGGAAGTTGGACTTAATCCTGTTGTATCTGGAGCACGAAATGTCAAAAGAAAGACTTCCCATTGACCGCTGCAAAAATCTGGACGTGGGCATCGGAGATTGGGACTCTGACTCATTCAAGTTTGCTTAGGCGCACGATGGGACGGTTCCGTCGCTGGAAGTCAAACGGGCTGTTAAGAAATGTATAAGAAAGAATCATCCAAGCAACGAGCGAGCAAGGACAAGCAATCCACCCAACCACCAAAGGAGATATCCTAAAACGCTGAAAACAAGCGCTCGCTTCAAACCTCCTCCGAATACGAGCGTGATCGAATTGTCACCATCATGCAATTCCATGCGAGTTCGCACGAAACTCCACGCTCGGTCCAAAGCTCAGCTGAGACTCACGAACACGCTTGCCTCGAGAGTGGAACCCAAGTCTCACAGCGTTGCAAGTTCCAGGCTTCCAGCCCAGCAGCCGGCCGGTACACATGGCAAGTCAAGTCCGATCTGAACTGGTCGCTGCGGCGCGGCGACCAGAGGCTGCGACCTGGGCCACTGACATGAGCTCGAGTCAATCCTGTGGATAACGCGGACATAGCAGCTAATCCTTCTACACAAACGGTTTCATCACGCTTTTAGTGCATGCGTCTCATCCTTTGGCTGCTGCGAAAATCTAAGAAAAAACATTCCACTTTCGGTCTCCTCGTTTTCTCTGAAAAAGTTTGATCTTCCGAATTACGTAGCCAAAAATCTGTATTGTTATCGAAAGTGACATTTTCCATGAGGAACTGTCCGACGGTCATACTCTCTTTGCAGAACGCTATTTTTTGATTAAGCTTCTTACTTTTAATATGGATGAAGTTCGACGGGGCTCAGACTGCTGTTCTGTTCCGGTCAGTCAGACGGCGTTGTTTGGTCTGCCACGTAGTGTTGGAGGCACAACTCAAAAGGCATGCCCCCGGGCGAGGGCCGGGGGGCATGCCTCATTCGCAGTTTTCCAGTTTCCATACGGGGCATGCCCGTATGTACTAACAAATTTATATGTATATTCAGAGTTATAGACGGTGGGATAAGTCAAGAAATAAATGGGAAATTATGCTTGTTGTTGGGACTGCATGGTACTAAAACTGCTCTTGGACCTGAAGGATTTGCCCAGTATGTGCAATGATGTTTTTGTGTCGGTATGTGGGATGTAGACAGGTCCTCCCGCTTTACTACGCTCCTCCAGCAAATGAACCGGATGTCTAGCATGAGTAACTATATTTCCTTGAGGCTTGGACTATCTCCACTAAACTAGATCTAGCTCTGCTACATGGCACTCCCTCCATGAATTGCCTTTTGTTCTGCACAATTTTTGATGGCTGATATGAATATGGCTGGTGCTGTAGTATTTCCTGCTTCTATGCAGTCCCTCCATGCCACGAAATTGCCTGGCCCTTTTGTTCTGCAGCTAACATAAGCACGTGTTCTCTCTTGCTTTGATTCCTTAGATAGACACTTCGAGATTCTACTATAGTGTGGGTTGAAGTTATGATTTTAGTGTTGATTGTTTCTCCTTCTAAGAGTGCTGTATTTTCATAAACGTATAGTTTTTGATACATCAAGTAATACGGGTATACCTTGGGGCATGAAGCATGCGTTTTGACCTTGAAATGGGGCATGGGCATGCCTCGAAAAATTTTGTTGTGCCTCCAACCCTACTGCCACGGGGCGATGCGGAGACCCGAACCAGGGCTTGGTCAAGGCAGAGGAGATCCGATCAAGGGCCGAGTCTCGACGTCGTCGTAGCCTACGTCAATATTGACTTACTGATTTAGGAAATGCCACATGCGCATGAAGGCCGTTGCGGCGCCGTCCGGTGTTTGTACGTATTGCGAGACCCCAAGGTCAACGGCACGTCATGGGGCCCGGAGTTCGGTATATAAATTGGCGTGGGGGCCCGAGGAGTGGCACAGCACAAGCATCTGGCTCGTGAGATCCTCGAATTCCCGACCTCAAATTTTCAGCAAGTCGTTCGGTGCGATCGATCGATCGATTGACACATCACATCTTCATTTGGCCAGTCTCACGGGTAGACACACACACAGACAGAGAACCCAACGAGGGGAACTATGGCTCGTTTCGGCTGCGTGGCCGGGGTGGCGGTGCTCATGTTGGCAGCGACGGCTCTGGGCGTGAGTGCTCAAGGCGGAAACGTGTTCGAGTGGGATTTCGCGGCTCGCGGTGACGCAGTGTGCACGAACTTGGCCACGGGTGTGACGATCGACAATCATCCCCCGTATGCCATGAACACAGCAGGCTTCAGCGACTCTCACCGCAACATCATCTCCTATGACACGGACGATATCTATGCCTTAGGATTCGAACAGTACTCTCCCGGAGAATTTTACCTGTCCATCTACAAATGGTTCCCGAGCAACAGCTCCGCTGGTCCTTCGGTGTTTCAAGCCAAGGGCCTGAATACCAACACCGTGGACGAAGGTGCCACCTTCACCATCCTCAGCAACGGCTCGCTCGATCTGAGAAGCTCCGATGGAACTCTGGTAAGCATCTGGTGGATGAAATGGCCCCTTAGCTAGATTACATTCACGTGCCCTCTGCCTTCCATCTTTGTATTCTGAAGTTCAGTCGTCCAAGTCTTCACAGCATTTGCGGCTACAGGAAGGAATCAGGCGTTGCGTGCATGCATGACTCACAAATCTCTCCACTCCGTTGTGCAGGTTTGGACAACAGGCACAGAGTTTGCTGGCGCAGTAAGCATGGAATTTAACATGGACGAAGGCAATCTGATTCTGTACCATTCTACTGGCGCTATAGTCTGGCAGAGCATTGACAACAACGGATCTCCTTGAATGCCCACGTAACCAATTCCAGTACGTTTAACACTAGAAGATGCTGGCGTCGTATTGCAACCACATCTACGCAGTTATCGTGCCTGCTGCATGAAGACAGTCGAACGTCCGACCATCCATCTTAAGGAAATTTGAACTTAGCCCAGCTACATCGTCGCCCGTGACAAAGGTCCCCATGATACTGCATGCATGCAGTCATTGTGCTCATGATCTTTTGGCTTCGAGCTATGGATAGAAGGATATGGTTACAACATCGTGAATTATCAGCTGAGTGGCAATTCTATGTGATAAGATAGATTGCAGGCTCTCAAATGTCCCTCTCCAGAAAAAATAAACGTTGATTTCTACGAAGTTTGATAATTACCGTCAACTCACCTTGTAATGGTACCGCTGCAAATGCTGCAATATTCACAGCAATCAGCTAATTTGTGGGGATGCGACTCGCAACGTGTGTCGATGACATTAAACGCTCTCAGGTTCTGAAGTTGACCATGGATTCTCAGTCGGCCAGTGTAGAGTCAAAGGATGTGACGTTCTGCAATGGGCATAAACAAAATGTTTGAATTGAAGATCTTTGATCGAGTCAGGATGGACGGTCTTCAAAAGATCGAGGTTGCCAGGGAGGCATTAAATCTCTTCTTCTCTCTGCTGGACTGATGATAATGACAAAAGCGGAAAAGACAGTGTGCGTCGAAAAGACCAATCCTTCGTTTCTGTGATCTGGATCTTAGCGCAATGAGAGTGAAAATGCAGGGTAGTTGACGTTCCTCCGCCATTCCTATCAATATATTTACTTCTATTATTCCTTCGATTTTGTTAATTCAACTTACTCTTAAATCCTTAATGGAACATTTGTTTTCTAATCCCTAAACATTCACAACATGTGCTGAACAAGGAAGATAAGTATTTCGGCTTCGACGGATGCTTAATACAATTAGGATATTTTTTGTATTCAATGACACGTTATGGATTGTAAAATCACCCGTTCGAAATGAGCCTACTATTTTTTGATTGAAACTTTTTGGATCAAAAAGTTTTTATTCATATACTGAGTGTGAAATAATATGTAATAAACATAGCTCAAAGTTAATACTGATCTGTAAGGTCTTACCTCTATACTTGTTATCACATCAAATTCTTAAAGATCTGTATCTCGAGACAGGTATAATGTTTTATTGGCAAAAAGCTATATAAGCTCTGATATGCGAGAATAAATAATTTGAGAACAGAGTTGGAAAAAGTTTATAACAAATAATGTCAAGCTACTTTACAACTACTGTACTTCACAACATTTTTTTATGTTAAGCATTCAATACATATTAAATAATCGTATTAAAGAGTTGCATGCTTAAGTATTTGAATTTAGATTGAGGCAAATTTTTGAATTTATCATCATAATGTATACTTGGATTTATATTTTGCTAACTTATATGTTTGATTAGAAATATTCACGAATATCTTCTTCTTTGATAAGTATTTTGTGTGGAAATCTAACATATTATCTCTAATCAGCTCAAATATAATATCCTTTAGAATTGAAAATTAAAAACTGGATTTATTATTTACCTATACATGTTGAAATTCATCATTTTTTTAAGCCAATTGCATAGTTTTTTCTGAAGAGAGGCAAGATATTACATTTCCTTGATCACGGATGTGATTAACACAAGAAAAACTAATATTAATTCTAAAAATATGCTGCTACCTTGCAACCACACACATACCAAGTAATAGAGCAAACTGAGTGTAAATTTCAAGTAGTGTGGGCATGAAGTCAAAATGATGCATCTATATCTCAATAACGTCACAAACCGAGGTAATGTCTTCTCGTCAGATATAGGAAGTATATTAAAAGCGAAATATTATCAAAAAAGCTCGAGGAACATAATCTAACGTGATTGCAATTAAAATAAAACATCAAGCAGTGATAAGTTCATGAGAAATGGATACAAATTTACTTAAAATCTACTCAAAATGATGAAGAAAGTAAGATCTCATGCAAAACATTCATTAAATATCGCAATTAAACTACATTCGGATAAAAAGGGTTAAAACCCTTTGTATCCGAAGAAAAATATATATTCATCAAGTAGTACAGAACAAATAATTGAGAATAGCCGAAAGATGAATCACTCCAAAAGGGGAAATATGGGGAAAGATCCTAAAGGAGAACGAGAATGGGCAGTAACGATCGAGGTAAGTAAGTTGTGGAGAACTTGTTACACTACCTGCTCCCAAGCCCAGGAACACGATCTAATAACCATGCATGAAGCAATCGATAAGCCCAAGCGCTTCAACTTAAACTTAAACCACAGGAGATTTCTTGTAGTTCAAGTCAAGCTGAAGCAAGATGCTCAGTACTTGCGAAGTTATGCCCAGGACTTGGATGTCTGGACGACTGCTCTAAAAAGGAAACCTGTCACTCCTCGACCAATGTCCAAACTTGTATTCCGGTTTTTTCCACGTGGCATGCACAGCATGACATCTTATTGGATGAACGAGATCACCAGAACAATGGCCGAACTCTTACACAGCAATCCTGGGCCAATCTGATTAAACGTTCGTCTTCCGTTGCCGAGCAACTGACATTGTAAACCCAATCGGACCGGCCAACTGCACCAGCATGTACTGACAGATAGCTGATTCAGAGGCATGTGAAATTGAGTCCTCCCCAATTTGACCAATTCAAGCATCCACGATAGCCCTCCTGCTCTTGTTGACCGAGATTTTTGCTTACATCAGCCGTTTTGGAGTTAGACTTTGGGTTGCAGGGATCTGCGATTCCGAATAAGACCAGTGCGACTTTGAGAGCAAGTCTAAACCTCAACTCATCGGACTGAGTGCTGTCTTCTGAGCTACTGCAACATTTTATTCAAATGCATTCGATTCCTCACTTAGTTCGATTTAACGTCTTCCAGCTGCACATTACTCCACTTTCGGTCGAAGAAGTGAAAACTCGATTCAGAACCATCTTGTTCCTCGGGCCCCAACAGGTCTGCAGGTTAACCTGAGCGTCAGCGCCCAGAGCAGCTATATCTTGGAATGGGACCTCCGGTGTCGTTCGCGGTTATGCGGCAGCCTCCAGTCTGACATGTGTGATCTGATATAACATCAACATTTCATGGTCAAGTCATCACATTGGCAATAGGCAGGAAGATTTATATGACAGGTGATGCTTGTTCCAGTCCCCTTGATTACTATCAGGTACTGGAGAAAGCATCAGCTCACGATGTACTTGAGATGGATATGAGATGAGTAGTCCAAGAAGAGATTTTACCCTCAGAGAATTAGGACCCTTTCTGAACCCTTGCTTCTCCAGGCGAGGTTTCCACTGGACTCCGCTCAGATGTCTCAACGGTTCTTCTTGTACAATGCGCATTCGTTGTCATACTCAACGCTTCATTTTTGTCCTTTGGAGAAGCTATCAATGCTGGTAAGAGATTTTCATAATAATCAATTTGTTTCATCGTATCAAATTGTCCATAGCCTCGGTAATTTGTTTTAATCACTCAAACAGTAAGTTTAGTTTTTTTCATGTATAACTGTGAATCGTAACGCTATCATTGATTATTTTATTAGATTGATGTATAAAAGAACAATTGATCAGTTATGTCCTTACATTGTTAGAATAAGGATGTGACCTCAGTAAGAAACTTCCTTACAGTATAGGCGTTGAATCACTCTGTTGAGCATTTACTTCCTTATGCATATCCTCAATGAAAACTTTCAGATTCGACTCATTGCATTTAAGTATGCAATCCCATTTGACACCTTAAATTACTACAATAGAAAGATTGGAAAAAATTATTTATTCCTTTCTGCACAATCTTTAGCAACCAACATAATAAGTATTTCATAAAGAAGCAAAAATTCCAAATTATGATCTTGGGATTAATTTGCACTCGGAATACTGAATGATGTGATATAAAAAATGATATCACTAAAGATGAAATAATGTTCAAATCTTAACTGAATCCTCTAAAAGACAAAGTTTAAACAGAATAGATTAAAAAGCTTCGCTAAATTCAAAATAGACCAAAAAAGTGTATACGAATTTTCACTTAGTCCGTAATCCTCAAAGAGCATAGTAGATTCCGAAAGTTCAGGAGAGTTATTTCTAAAATAGTATTGACATATAATATCAACATCTTTAGAATATTTATAACAAAATGATTTCTCGAAGCTCGATAGATATTGTAACATGGTTGACGTTGAGTGATATCATTGGATAAAATGATTTGTGTTGGATCTCAAGAAATGTTTTGTATTAGACATTAATTTTTTCAAACAAATTCAATCAATTTAACAATGTGTTTGTTATGTTACCACAGTATCATATGTACAACAAAGTTTCTTGATGTTCGGATGATGGATTGTACATTAATATTCTCAAATCTAGAAGAATTTTAGACAATTTGATTGTTTAACTAGAAACAATCTAATGTGTTTTGGAGTATATGTTTCATCAATGTTATGTTAAATTTCATATCTATATAATAGATAACTTTTTACATTCTCAATCATTTTGTCTTTAAATTTTTTAAATTTGAGTACTCAATCCAAACATATAGTAAAATCAAATGTATTTGTTGTATACATACATAGTGTGGTAACTTATTAAACACGCTGTTCTTTCACACGGTTGTCAACACTCAATCATTTTGCTGTACTCGAGTACCCAATGGGCCATGTAACCGGTTCTTTTACCCAATATTGCCAGCTATTCGGGTCTTTATCGCAGTCAAATTCATCGCACATTTGATACCTCAAAAAAATCTTATAGCAAGATGACGTTCTCGCCATGCGTAACCTGCCATTGGACTCGGTGATCGAGAATAGATCTGAGAACGTAACGCGCGTTTCTTAATATAAAAACAACTGAGAAGCCTGTGGAGGAGGCTTCTCAGTTGTTTCATCTCAACACTCTATGTGCTCTGTCAGCCTGTGGCCCTTGGTAGTGCATTACGCGCGATGAATTTCATTTGCTTACAATCCTCAACTAAAACATTGTGAAGGAGGCAGGCTTCAGACCTTAAACCATCGCGACGAACAAAAGAACGCTTATCTCTTAAAATTACCGCTGATTAGATAATTCGAGACCACGATTAGGCAGGCGTCCGAAGAAATTGCAGAGGATAATATGAGGCCTGAGACTGCACATCGGCATGCCATAACCTCTATTGGTATTACGCCTGTCAACACCTCATATCTCTCTGTCTGAACGATTGTCACTTGTTACTTTCTCGATGTATGATTTATTTCAGTTCGCTAATGGAGTTGAAAGTTGGATGGGCCTTGCAGCATCCGGGCGCGGGCGAACAATGCTGTGCAACGAAACCACCTCGTGAAATCTGTCACATCTGCCATACACTCATGCCACATTCACCACAATCAACGCAGCAGTGCCTGTATCACAGTTATGACCTAAGGCAATTAAATTTTCTCCAGAGTGGACCGGCCGTTGCGATTGCATTATTGGATGGGAACTCCGATCGGCCTTGAGCAGTTGCCAGGATGATGATCGATCGGCGGGACCGCAGGACGTTTTCCTTAGAATCGCGCGCTTTCAGAAGAATTGAAGTTGTCAGTGCTACTCCCGGCTGTCTTTCGCAGGATTGCACTGTATTCTACTGGAGACACCAGCGGCGAGATATCAGGTGAGATCACATGGGCAAGCAACTTCCGATACTGGTTGGCAGGTTTGCAAGATTGACGAAGGCCGATCGTGCAGGAAGGTGAGCAAAAGACATGGCGAATCATATCATCTCGCGGGACGAGCAGTCTTGTAATGCAAGAACCGCTGAAAGCGCAGGGCATGATTATCATCACAGAGTTGGCAAGCATGGAGCCTGGTGATTAGAAGCCCCGGTAGATCAGGGAGAAAAGATGGTGAAACCGACGATTGATGGCAACATGGGCGCCATGGATTGGTTTGTAACGACTGTGGGTTACAAATCGATCATTCCAGCGAATCTCGCGTCGCTAGGGTGTGAGGCATGGAGGGCGATGACCCCTCGGCAGCAAGGGATGCAGCCGTTTCGCCCGCAAATGAAGCAGCTGAGTCGTATGAGGAAAGAGATGAGGCTGTTTCCTTGTCACCATTTCAAGGGGAGTTCCCATCTGGAGGGCAAAATGTTTCGGGCCCGTTGTCTGATGGATATCAGGAAGATCAAGCGGAAGGTTTTGCTTACCACCAAGAAAAAATGGAAGGTGGAAATGGGCAGGCGTTTGAATACTATGAGGAAGAAGGCGGGGAGTTCCTGTCCATGGCAACTCTCCCAGCCTCTAACATTGCTGGGAAGGATGGCGCTCGCAGCCGCGCGCCATCCTTACCATCGCCACTCCAGGGGCGTCCTGTTGCAGTTGGCATCCCGCCAGTGGCCACCGAACGATCGACCGCTGGCCTTTCGGTGAAATTTGCATCCGAGCCTTCCCCATTAGGGCCTCAGTCAGTTGTTACTCCCATCAGTGCGGTCGTCGAGGATGAAGAGTACTCGGGCATGCCCAAGATAGACGCAGACATCGAAGTGGGCAAGAAGATTGTAAGGCGGCGCAAGCTGTCAGTTGCATGCCCTCCATCTTCGTTTTACTCCGATGTCCAACCTCCGGGTCTGGAACTCGTGCAACGAGCCTTGCGCGGCCACAAGGCAGCGGGCCTTCGACCTTTCAAAAGAGTGCAGCCGCGTTTGTCAGCCACAGAATTTCACGATGAGAAAGGCCATATGTTGTTGCACGGATGCTTGGATGGAAAGTATGTAGGAGATGTACTTGGAGGTTTGCCGCATGGACACGGTCAGCACTGGACTCCCCCTCCTGGCTGCAGATCAGCTCCCGACTACCGGCATCTTCTGTATGAAGGCGCTTGGGAGTATGGAGCCAAGACTGGATATGGTCGCATGTTTTACCACAATGGCCAGGTAGAACCACCATCTTCAGTATGACTATCCCTGCGTTCAGTTCAAATGCTTTCGAGCCATACTTATCAGTGGGGTTTCCTTGTCATCGTCATATCGACCGTGTTCGGGCAGCTTTCCTGGTATGTAATTCAACGATTGTGAAAAATGTACGAACGACGCTTCTTATTTCGAAAAGATGAGGCTTTAGGGTTAAGCATATATTGTACAGTTAACGGATCCCATAGCCATAGACAGTGGTTATTATCACAGACTGCCCGTAGTCGGGCATATGATCGAGTCTTGCTAAAGCACATGCCACAATCAACAGGGGATGAATGTTTACGCCCACTCTCCTCATTGTGTAAGTTCAGGATCTTACTTGCTTACCCGAAGCTCTTACACTCAACAACCCTGGCCGTCTTATGATCTTATAGAGGATCTACACACATTCATGGCTGGTGACGGCCGTGGGGAGGTATAGATTGTTGCGAATTGAGCTCCCGTTTAGCTTCACGCGGCAGCTCTCGAGTCCTATAGAAAGTCATTATGAGTACTGACTCTACAATTCAGCTGATTGGACTCCGTGTGCACTAGTCTGGTGTGATCCTCTCCGCACATGTTAAGCTCTTCTGGTTGGCCATATGCAAGTTGAAAATATCACAGTCAAGCCAGAGAAACAGGGTTGGTTGTCGACGATCCTTGCGTACTGAAGCTCACATGCATCAGGAATATCGAGGTCATTTCAAAGAAGGTGAAAGACATGGGCGTGGAGCCATTTTATACCTTGATGGAACTGTGTACGACGGGGAGTGGTTCAAAGGACGTCGGCATGGTCTTGGAACCAGCGTAATCCCTAACCATACTTCAAAGTAGTTTGTGCACTAACTGCTAGCGTACAGCAGTTATCATTTTCCTCTGCAAGAAGACAAAACCACTATCGTTGTAGGTACTCAAATGTGGATAGGCTGTAGAAGGTTGAAGCAAGTAGGTTAGAAGTCGCCACACTTTTATATGACAGAACCAATTAAGAGAAGAAGCAAAGTTTGATTAAGGACCTCACAGCCAGGAGGTACGCAGGGCAGAAACGGGCCAGTCAGGAGAAGAGAGTGTAATAAGTCAACAAGTGATTGTTCTTCTGTTGTCAATGAGGCAACCTTTGGTCACACAACGGGAAGAGCGAACTGTCAAATGTTTTCCTTCTGGAAACAGTTTGCCGTTGATACATATAGAGAGTTGACGTACTGCATGTTCCTTTGAACATGACTGTAGTTAATACTGTCTTCTGTGCAGTATTACAAAGATGGAGGTTTTTACAAGGGGGCGTGGTGCAAGGACAACCGCGACGGGTGGGGTGCATATTATTGGCCTACCAAATGTCGGAAGTATGAAGGTGAGTGGGTGGGTGATGATCCAGTGTGCGGAAATCATACAAATATCTTGGAGACGGAGTACATGGCTCTGAAAGAACTTGTTCCTGAGTGGTGCAACGTCCTGCAGAACCTTCCTTCGTCTCTCCCAAAGGAAAAATTGGAGGTGTGAACAGAACTTGTCTGTGCCCTTCTCGTTATTCAATCAAGTTAAAGCGCCCTGTACTTCTACTTTGTAAACTAAGCCAGCCCAACCGCTCACTAACGCCACAACAAGAGTATGATTTGTAGTGAAATCGAAGTGCTCGTTGAATTAACTTCACGTCTAAACCTACTTTTGAATCTTCTTCACTACAAATCTGGGCATCACTTCAACTTATTTGAGTAACCAGTAATTAGGGTTTTTGAGTTTACTGTGAAGGGTTTCATATATGTGCTCTTAGTTCTCTGCTTTGAAGTCTCATGTATCCCAGCAGATTACATGTGGTTCTTAGTGGTGTGCTGGATACATTTTGTAATGTTATGTTACGGTGAGGTTTGGTCCACAATACGATATCTTCACATATTTTCTTCACTTCCCATTTTATAGGTCGGGAATCGGCCTTCCAGCTGGTGTATTCGGCTTTCGACGTTTTTACAAAATAGTTTTCTTGTACTTTCAGCTTCATTCGGTTCTTCTAGATATACACACAGTATCAATTTAATATACGGCTCATTCATTTTGTACCTTCCTTCGTTATGCTGAAACAACTGTAAATAGTTTGCGCGCACGCTGGTCGTTCTCCGCTCTTCCTCTCTGCCTTTTCTTTAGTCTTCTGTGAGGTTACAATTTTTGAACATTGAAGTGGATGAAAATCACTTACATATTCGGGATGTTACGTTTTTACGGCTTGGGATGGTGTTCATCATTGACTCAGGCTCAAATACATGAAATTACCAAGTATTCAAAGAAGTGACGTGATGATTGTATGACGCTCTATGAGTATTTCCATTTTCGTCTTTTTTGTGAGTTACAGAACGAATCTACCGGGTTGCCCGAGCGACTCCGGAGTTATTGACAAAAGCCACAGGACGTGAGAAATGTTTTCTGGAACATTCTTGTCTTTTTGCCCTGGGTTCCACGTCGTGGTGAGAACGGTTGGAACCTTGAGATGGCTTTTCTAGAAGTTGAGCGATTGGCTGTCTCTTTTCCTTCAGTCTCGAACTGTGCCTTGTGGTTCAGGACCTGAAACTTTATCTATATATACTTTTCATGTACATCGTTCAAACAAGTACCCGAACTAGATGGTTTCTCTCGTCGCAGTTTGCTGATTCCTTGTGGTTCAGGACCTGAAACTTTATCTATATATACTTCTCATGTACATCGTTCAAACAAGTACCCAAACTAGATGGTTTCTCTCGTCGCAGTTTGCTGATTTTCTGCAAGAGTTGGGGTGTCTTCCACAAAGTTGCAAAATCTAGTTCTGATCATTTTTTGCTAAGAAGCTTATAAACGTCTTCAAACGTTTCATTTCGGGCTCTGGAATCATGTGTTACATGATATTTGATTCCCGGTCGTACGGAGTTGATCTTTGGTTGTGGTACTTCATCTGTAAGCTTACTTGTTGCGACCAGGAGACTTTCTCTTCTTGCTTCTGTAGACTTTTGAAAGGACTAGTGGAAATTTTCAAATTGTCGCTACCTTTGCTGGAAGACTGCTCAATATCATCGTAAATTTGTGAATACAACTCAACTTGGTTCGTCCGTACAGTTGCCAGAGATGGAATTGCGCAATCCCGAATCTGTTTACTACCCCCATACTTGCGGAAGACGCCAGTACAGGATTGACGTTAAAAGAGCAGCCCTGAAAGATCCACCCGACCCGAAAATTGTGAGTTGTTCCTTCTTTCATAAGCATTTCCACAAGCCGACGCTCCTATGGGGATTTCATGAGTAGGTTATGAATAGCGCTCGAAATAAGATGTTATTATGAAGAATATCTTGTTTAGGGCTAACGAGGTAAAGTATTTAAGTTTTGGAAATATGAGGAGTAAGATCTGTCGCAGGACTGGCCGATCATTTCTCTTAATCCCGATCTACAGGTTGTGGAGCACAAGGGTAGTTTGTCCCCTCAACAGATGCAGGCATTGCGATTAGCTTTCGATAAGCTCTCACCCGGTTATTATCGACGGTCGATGATCAACAGAGTCCAGATTCGCAGACTCATTCTGCTAGCCCGACTGGACCCTGATTCTGAAATGGTATGTCTTCTCACTTACTGTTTTTAACGAAGCATGTGTGAAATCAAAATAAGCGATTGTAAAAATGATCGTCGTATTTTAATGGGTATGTAGCTCACTTGGTAGAGCGCTCGCCGTCCGCGCGAGAGGACAGGGTTCAAATCCCTGCATCTCCCAGCCCCTCACAGAATCATCGATTACTGAACATTCACTGAGTTTGGACCCTGCGCTAATCATCTTCACTTGTCCTTCCCGTCAGTCTGTTTTTAAGACAGCTAGCATTATTTGGTGTTCACGAGGGCCATATCACACTGAAAAACCTCTTCAAGCTAGTTCATTGCTTGGTTGGAAGTGACTGTTCGTTGTAACTGAACTGGAGCTTTCTTTTCGTAAGCATCGGGTGCCATGCCAAAACATCGGACATCGAACAAGCTGATTGCCCGGGATCGCGGCACATGTGGGAGAGTGGCCCCCGCCCTCCATACATAGAAATAAGCACCAGGGACATGGGAGGATCACTAACTAACTAACTAAGCCCTTTGAAGTATCCAAGTTGCTCTTACTATCATGATTCTGTGCTATTGCATTTGCAGGGTAAAAGGTTATTCATTAGTTTCCAGGAAGCCGCGATTCCGACAACTGGCCTCACCTACAACAATTTTATGAAGACTATTCTGCAATTCCACTATCCTCGAGAAGCAATGCCTTGCAAGACCGCGGCGTAAGAGTAATTCAGAATGTCTATGTGTATTTTCGTATCACTGAGCCAGCTACCTGGTCAATGAATATCAAGTTTTACATAGGGAATGTCTTGGCTAAGGTTTCAGCCAGACACTGTCTTGCTCATCAAGACGAGTTCTAGGAGTAGCACAATCGCATTCAATAGTCTAGTCAGAACACAACGCGCGAGCGAAGTCCTGGTAAGTTGGTTGGTTAGAATCTGTAAATTGCTCATGAAAAGGTAGTCACGAGGACCGTACGAGATTTCAGAAAATCAGTGCTTGTCTGGACTTTCGTGTCCAACACTGATCCGAACTCGATGCCAATAAAACTGATATCTTGAGACGGTTTTTGTTGTTTAATATGGCAATTGTCTGTCTGACAATGTTTGCGCTTGTAGTGAAAACCTCTCGACATGCATTTGCAAGTAGGGCCCAACTTGCCCTTGTGGTACCCTCAAAACCCTTATCCGATAGCACTGGCTGCATTATAAGTAACCCCAAACAAGCAATTTGAAAGTGAGAATTGCATATAATTGATAACTAAATAGTTTTCATCCCCATACATGAATGATTGATTTTCACAATAAATTTGTTTAATACAAATAGTAATGTAGTCCACTAGAATTTAATCCTGTCATCAGATAAGTTGAAATGTGGAACTGTGACATTACTAAAAGTTATTCTGGTCTCAACATAAATTGAATTATGGAAGTGAAGTATTAATAAGGTATAAGTTTCAAAGGCGATTTGTCAAACCATAGTATCATTACATTACTAATTATTATTATATATCAATATATATCATTATTATAAAAAGATACAAATGCGATCAATTGCGAGGTTCAACCAATATCAAGCAGTATTATGGAAAGATTTAAAGCATAATTTTCTATTTTATATAGAAAATTTAATATTGAAAATAATTTTTAGATTCAGAATAGTATTTATAGTAGAAGAATAAAATGTAACTTCTACATGTTACGAAAAAATTCATTTTCTAACAATGAAGTGTGATTTTTATAGATTATAACAAAAGATTATTCAGAATTGGAATACATGTTAGAACCCAAGAAGCATCAGGACATTGTGAGAGGTGTAATTGAAAACTCTCTACGAGATAAGTTTGCCTGTACAAAAGAACCAAACTGCGCTGAGAGTTGGAGTTCGGGACATCATTAGATTGACTCCCAATCAACACATCCAATCTAGCAAGTACAGGCAAAAGAAGTACCAATCTGGAAATCAAATGACATGCATCCAATCTAGCAAGTACAAGGAGTTAGTTTTGAACCAATCTGGAAATCACATGAGAGTATTCTTGGCCTAGCGAAATATGCTCAGAGCTTTTTGAGAAACAAACACAATTCACGTGAATGACAATCTCATTCTAATTGATGAGATACAATATTGTGATCCGAAATCGTTGAGACATAGAGCCAATTGAGATGATGCTGTATCGATTTTGTACTGATTAGAACTTGAAAAGTGATGCAATACTATTCAAATTAAGGATTTGAATTCATTCAAATCTCTATGAAATCTTACGCAAAATAAGACACAGCTTTTTCAACATAACGAATAATCCACATCAATATGTACGGTTTATAATATATTGCTGTTAGAAGGCTTTGTAAACCTTTCCATGAATTAAATTTCGAGAAAATCTGTATATGTGCAAACAACCGGAATTTGACTTTACGCCATTGAAAATTCGTTATTAATTTTTTCCTGGTAAAGAAGTATAATATTCTGGATTGACTATTCCTGAAGAAATGAAGAACAAATAAAGTATACATCAATCGGTTCATCAAGTAATGCTGAGGTCGTATTTCAACGATTGGATAACAAATTCTGTTAACGATATAATACTTACCTCATACTCAATTTTGCCATGTCAAAACCTATAAACCTTTTGAATCTCAAATAGACAAAGTGTTATCAAAGATTCAAAATCACTTTTGATCGAATGAATAGTTCTTACTTCAAATAACCAAGGTAATAGCAGTTTCACATTTTGGAGGTTAACTCTAATGATAATAAATAAATAAATATATATATATATATTCTCTAACTATTAAATAAAAGAAAATTATCAGATACACTCAAATATGTTTTCATTCGTATGTATGATAGTATAAAAAGCTAATATTAGTAAAAAAACGGTAAGATGTAGTTCAGAAGAATTTAGTTTTTATTGATGATAATGAAAAAAAATTCGATATCTACATATCTATCAAATAGTATATTCCAAAAAAAAGTTATAATTAGAAGTATATATTATAAATATCTTGTATATGTTGAAAACACGTGTATCAAAAATTATATTTCATAGATTTTAAGGTAAAAAAATTTTCCTTGTTCATGCCAAATTTGATAATCATAAAAGAGATTCATCTTATGTGAAAAGTTTCCGATTTTTTAAAAAATATTAAATTTTATTTTATTTAAATATGGATGAAAAAAAAGATTTAATATTACAGATATTGCATGAAAAATTAAAGATTGAAATTGAATATTTATGACATTATATTTATATATTATAAATATAATGTCATGTATATTTTAAATGCATTGATAATGAACAAAAAATGAAAAAAAAAATTAAGTTATCAAAAAACTTGACACAATGTTGGATCTGTTAATCTAATGTTCATGAAAACACACTACAATTCAAATCAATTGCACTTTAGTCTGCTGGAAAATCTCTTATGTAATATTTAAAATTTATATAAGTTAAAGTCTAAACCTAATGGATCAAATAATTTCATCTAATAAACTTTGATTCGTAAAATTCTAAACTATCACATTATAATATAAATATAAGACATGTTTTCATCAAGCTTCTTTTTATATTAATATGACCTAATCTTTAATTAATCGTCAAGTAATCATTTTTATTATGAAATCAAGAAAGATAACTTTCTCCACAAATTATGTTCATCTCTAATAACATAGTAAAAAGCAAGCTTTATTATTCCAATATAGTGTTTCCCAAAAAAATAAAACAGTCTTTTGTTCCCAGCGCTCGCATAGCTTCGCTCTTTTACATCAATGAATTCTTTATTATTATTTCAGTCTTCAGAAGTCTATACAAATGGTTTCTATCCGCCACTGTGAACATCGTTAGTTCTTCGGATTATCTAAAATTTAAAATCACCATATCTTTCACCTCCTCCGGATGAAGGACATCATCAGAACGATCCACGAGTTTGCAAACATGACAAAGTCCCACAACAGGAATAAACTCAAAGCTGCTGTATATTGCCAGCTTTGCTTACATCGTGCCAAGACAAATGTACAAAACAGAATTTCTTCTCCTATGGCTTTAATTCATTACAAAGATTGAGAAATGCTTTGCAATCTTCGCGTTTTTGTGGTCTCATTTGAGTTGAATAAATCAAATAAAAATCCTTTTGAACATCTTCATGATGCCTCGGTGAAAGCATTCACCAACGTTCCGGAGTGCTCAAACTTTCATGCTTTGAAACTGCTTACAGACTCTGCGTACTGCAAAACATGACGTATCAATCTCATGCTAACACTAGCACTAAATACATATTTAGCCAGTGCAATATGAGACTTGTATGCAAACGATTTCCAACCTGCGTCATAAAGTCGAGCCAGCATCATGTTATACACGTGACCCAAGCATGTTCGATGGAGGTAATCCATGCAAAATTGAATAAATTCATTTTGGAAAAATCAGTTGAAGTTTTTTTGTATATATTTAATGACAAATTCTTTATATTCAATATTTTTGCTCTGATATCATTTAAAGAGTTTAAATGATGACATCCATCACACAAAATTAATCTTGTTGAATATATATTCCCATGAACACAATATTATTTTATCTAAATTCTTAAATTTATTTTCTGTAAAATTATGACCAAATAAGAACAAACTAACTAGTCATAATAAGATTGATAAAAGTAATCCAAAATCTTAGTTAATATTTATATTATTCATTAGAATATTAAAATTAAAATGTAATGAATTCATGAACATTATATCCATGAAATTCTTGATGTTTAAGATCGAGAAAAAAATTTATATTTTCTGAAGGTTTTATGCTTCATTTCAAAGCAATAAATTTTGTTTGCAGAAAAAAATTTATTTTATATATACTTTCAATCATGTAAGAGAATATTTTAATTTGAAAAACTTACAAATTTTATTTTAGTCGTTATTTTTCCATTTGAACCAAAAAAAAAATACTTATTCATCAACTCTTTGACAATGTACAACAAAAAATTCAGAGTTATTTACAAATTTTTGAAGAACAAACGATTCTACAATTATCTATTCAAGCATTTGGGATTGAAAAATCACGAATGATTCAGGTGTCGAAAGGCACTAATATTCAGGAACTTTTCAAAAACACAACTGGAAAAAACACAATGAATGAATTCTAAGATAGTCAACTTCATCCCATAGTATTGTTATTCAATCAAGTAGACTTCTCATTTTGATGTTTGTGATAATAACGTTTGATTTATTTCAAAAGAATCTTATAGTTTATGCTCATAATCAGTGCTAATTAAACATTGGAATAAAAAAAATTTGAATATTGTATATATATCGATCAGATATAAGAGAAGAATTTTCCCGACAATTTTGAACCAAGCAATTTTTTTATAAGCAAATCATGGATCTTTTGACACAGATTTCATACAATCTGGAAGGATGAAGATACTGAAAGGTATCATATACTGCGAGCTTGACTAAAGCCATCGCTACATCAATGCTTCAACATTTCCACTACCTGTACAAACCAATCCTCGAGGGACATACCTAGCAATACTTCTTTACATCCCATGTGATGGAAGCCTGGAAAGAACGTTCAAACCACCAAGTATTCAGGTGTATAAAAAACAAGGTGTTAACCTTGACCGAATTGGAACTCCTTGTAGTCTCTTTTCTGTCCAATCCTCACTGTCATGTCAATCTTTATTTACAGTTAACCATGTAGTTCATTCATAGTTGCAACTTTGATGTAGACAAGAGATGCATCAATACCAGTAACATCCATGATATATTCTTATGAAGCTGCCCAGCCAAATGATGTTTGATCAACCCACAACCAGATACCTCCATGCATCAATCAAAAATCTTGTCACATGATATCTCAATTTGTAACCTTGGGTTCAGGATGTCATTCTAGTGAAGAAGGGATTGAGTTATCACGTTAACAGCAAAACTACTTTTAAAAAATAAAAGATAAAAATCCGTATCAGTTGAATTAAGACAATCCATTGGAAAAGAAGAGATTTCCTTTCGTCAAATGTCCAACAAACTGATGAGCTAGAGACAAGTGACACAACCCTATAGTCCATGTATCACACCGCCTACCCCAATGTGAGCACAAGTAAAGAGAATGTTGCAGCTGATCGTCAACGAGGGTAAGATTGAAGAAAGCATCCCTCAAGATTTACGCATGCTGCTTGCTGAGACATTATGGCTGCAATCTTGAGGGTTAGATTTCGCTCTAACATATAATTTGTTATCATACTCTTCAAGGAAACGTCGATGTCAAATGATATTGATTTCGTAATTCATTACTTTCTCTTCCTAACCCCAGTTTCTCGCGGAAGAAAGCATGATATTGTGCCCTATATACTTACTGAGCTTCCACCGGTAGAAGACATGAGTGCAGTCGTGCACTGTCCTACTCCTGCGGATGTTCTTCACAGTGACCCTTGAGATATGACAGAGCAGTCGAAAGAATCTATTCGTATTTGTCAACTTGTTCTTGCCTCACCGACACACTGCATCCTCACGGCGTTCCAAAAACAAACAAACTGTAAAAGATGGTTAGTAGGTAGACTGCTGAACAACCGAAAACTCAACGGGAAGATTGGTCCACAAAACGCAAACCATCATATAAGCAGATATGCGTGGAAGAATTTTCAGATGTAAAAGGACACCACCATGTTGACGTGCATATTTTACAAGTGGCAAGAACAGATTGATCTATGGTCTGTGCCGTGAACTCAAGCGAAGGCTATGGGTGCTCCTCCTTTCATCCAGAAACAGCCAGAAAGAAACCAATACTATCTGAAAAAGATACATGTACAACTAACAACTTTCTTATAGAAATCTGAAAGGCCAGCTCCTCTATCTTCTAAGTTGCTACATCTGAGGAGCTTATCCTCAGCAACGCTTGAAGAGGGAGCTTTTCCCCTAAGTTTTGTACTTGAGTTCCAAGTTCTTAATACAGACCATAAATCTGGAAATTGCACATCTGAAGAGGAAGCCATCACAATGAGGTCTTTCCATGTTTTCTTACTAACAAGGTCTGCAATTTTCGAATGATCATAGAAACAGCACCTGGACTCTCACTTAATCCGAATCAACCCGAATGCTTCCAGATTCTGAAAGTCTCTATTTCCCGCAGGTCTTGTAGGTCGTTAAAAAGTTCCAATGTGAAGGATTATTCACAGGCGCATGTGAGCATACTTCGGATGACCTCGTGAACTATCCCACTACCCGCAGGCCAATTGCCAGAAGATGCTTTCGTCTGTAGACTTGTCAGCTCGTATTCAGCTGAGAGAAGAATCACGGCTGATGGCCTGGCAAGACCCGGCTGCCAGTAGTGGGTACATAGTTCAGTTTGCAACAAAGTGTTCGGATATTTCAAAAGCTCTAACCAGTGAGCCTTATCAACCCAACCATAAAGATAAAAATGAAGATCATAAGAATGAGTATCAACCAGGTGTAACAACCAGTTTTCCAATTCGACTTGTATATTATGCCGGCCCTCTCATTGACGCGATTTGTGGCGCCTATATTGACCTCCACTGCTGCCCCGGCATCGTCCACGAGATAACCCGTGTCCTTTAATGTCTTCTCCAGCATATAGCTATTGTTCTTCATCTGCTCGGACAGAAGAGCCATCTCATCCGTCAAAGCCTCTTGAATCTGTCGATGCTTGCTGATCGTTTCGTTTGACGCGGCATCCAGCTTCAGACCTTCCACCTTCTTCTCTTCATCCTGTTCTTTCATCTGCAATCTTCGTCTTCTGAGGTTAGGAGAGAGAGTTGGAGGGGCGAGCATAGGCTCATCCATCTCGACATCCAATCTAGGTCTACAATTCATCCCGACGTCATCGATGCTTCGCAGCGATTCCCAAACGTCGGGTGATGTGCCGGTATCGATTTTCTCCGCAACCTCATCGATGCTCTTGGCGTACTCGGCTGCTTTAGCCTCGGAGATGTGGCGGAGATCCTGATTCAAGCCCTCGACTCCTCCTCCTCCTCCTCCGGTAAGCAGAGCCAACTGCTCCCGCATGGCCGCGACATAATGAAGCAACTTGGCGTGATTGCTCTGGCGAGGAGCCGCAGCCAGTAACCTTCTCAATTTCACTTCCGCTTGCGAAATTCCCATGGCAAGCTACCAGCAAGAAAAAGGCCCACCCAATCTAGGAGCGCATCCCGATTCGATCCATGCCCAAATCGCACGAGCCTGGAGCAGAACGAAGAACGCCGAGCGACAGTCGCTTCCTCCCTCGGCCGTTCCACCGTGTTCCACCGTGTTCCGACGCCTTCCTCGCTGCGCCTCCTCTCGAATTCGTCCAGCGTCGAAGCTCCGATCTCCCACAGGCTCCCGTGAACTTCAGTTATTCGCACATATTGTACAGTCATCGCATTGTGACATCGACGTAGTACCTACATTGCTACCAGCCATGCCGAACGTGTTCTTTCAACCGGGGTTTAAAAGCTTAGAAAATCCGTACGATTCAGGATCAAATTCACATTGTTGAAGAGTTCAATGCTCAAATTGCAGTCTCCTCTTGTCTAAGCATTCACATAAAATACATAATTAATAGTACATGCTGAATAACATACCATATTTTAGTTTATTACAATATGTACTCCATACGTTCTCAAACCAAGGTTATGAAATAAGGAAACATGTTCACTTCACATAGTATCAATATGATTCAATCACAAGTAAGTTGTGAAATTTGCACCATCGCAAATGTCTTAATTTAATGTAATTATTTGAAGAATAGAATAAAACAAGATTCTGTAAATATATATGGAAGGAAACTTTCATACAAAACTCATCTATTTTATAAACGCTTTAGGTATCATATTCAATGAGAACCTCATCCATCAAAGCACAAGTAAAGGTACAACCGAGCTCGGATAAACGAAAGGATTTATAAATATTGGGTACAACAATGACAAATATACATTGGTTCTCATTTTCTTACATCCAACATCGCCATATTATCCTTACTATGATACTTATTGCTGGCTAAAAAGCAACGATGGTTTAAATCTTAATCAATATAAACTTCAATCCCTCTAGCCTATATTCTATGTCGCCATTACTTTGTAATATTAAGGGAATGGCTAGTTATCTCCTCTACTATACTCTAGTAAGGTGAAATATCGAGAGATTTGTGATTGGTTAGAGGGAACTTGAGCGTGAGTTGAGAAGATGAGAGTGCCCAGAAATAAATTGAATTTCTGTCTTGCTCGTTCAAATTACTTGCAAGCAAAAAGAAGAGTTCATACTTCTGTCTTCTCTCTCCCTCCGACACATTTTCAAGACATCTTGACCTATTTCAAGACATCTTGAAATAAAACAACCACTAGAACTTCGCCCTAGTCTTAATCTAAATGCAGCAAATTCTCCTTCCGCCACTGCCCTCAATCGGTCTCGATTTAATTCAAATAGCAAATGTTTGCAGTGCAGACCCGGAACCGAATAAACATCTAATCAACGTTTTCTGGATTTCTTTCCTTCTTTCATTTAGCAGCCTTGTGGCCAATTGAGTACCCTCCATACATACATACCGTGGGAGAAACTTGCAATGGCAAGGGCGGCATTATGCCAAATTCTCCCCAATCATCGTGTCCGTACTCGTGATCGCCAGGTTTACATATCCCAACTTGAACCATTGGGGAATTATCGAAGCCTACTCTCCCTCATGTTCACATATATTTCTCTCTCTCTTACCAATCATAGTATAGTATGGTGAGAGATAATTAAACAAAAATAAAATATAATTAGTTGCTTCCAATATTAATAATTTATTATGTAATGAAAATAATGAAGGTATATTGTGTGTCAATTCTTTGGATGCAAGGCCAAATGAATCTCTTTTGGGAAGTTACATATGATCATATTTCAAAAACCAAAAGACAATTTTTTTTGTTTAAATTTCAAGCACGTTCTGAGATAAAGTATGATCATGCGTATGATCAGTTCTTTATATTTTGTTTCTACTCGAAGCAATCGGATATCACTTTTGGCCGTTTGTCAACACTATGTCTACGTGATTTTCTCAGTCTGATTGCAGAATTCTTGTTTTGAAGATTATAGATCAAGGTTTTATATTGAATCATAGGCCTATGATGAAAGTTTGAAATTTTAAAAATCTGTGACATTTTTGAATAATTTGTTTATTCTTCATGTCAAATTTTAACAGCTTATATCAACTAATACCTAGCTTTTATTTATTAGAGTAAAATTTTCAGCTTTTCCTTGATGAATAACACATCTATATATCACAAATTTATTTGATTATTATAAATTTGCAAATCTATGCTATGAATATGCAAACTTTTTCATAAGCTCTGCTTTGCCAAACAAATTTTATGAAAAAAACAGACTTAATAGTCAAGATACAATAATTCAATCAAAATTATAATTATTGCGCACAAATTATAATAATAGAAGCTTTATTCTAGCCTCATTTTGTAATAGTTTGCAAACGTGAAAAACATTTATCGTACTTGCAAAAATTTACACATCTATGTGAAATTGAGGGTATATATATATTATTAAATTTGATTAGATGTTTTGTGCATTACATTTCAAATTGAGATAAATTAAAGAAATTTCATCTTTGTGAAATAAAAACAATATATAAATATGATTGATTTGATTAAGCTACTTTTTATCTATTTGTCCAAAACATCAATTGAAAATATGCATATATAGACATATGTTTGAAAAATAAATTAGTCTTTTGATTTTTTTCAATATAAGAATAAAAAATATTTAATCGTAATTATAAATTTAAAATCTTAAATTTTGAAATAGATGAATAAATATGAAAAAAATCTATTAATTGATGATGAAGTTTCAGAAAAAAATTATTGCAAAAATTTCTCAAACATGCATTATATCTCTTTGAAGTTAATAAACTCCGATATGATAAAAAATTATGAAATTTCAAATTGTGAAGAAATAAAAAATGATGAGAGTATAATTTTCAACTTTGAGCCTCATTTTTTTCTTTAAGTCATTGTTACAAACGTTTTTTTTCTTTAATAAGCACAAAATCACTTAGAATTAAATGCTAAGTATTTAGTTGACTATTGATTGCAATAGATTTGTTATATGATACGACACTCAGTAACATTTTACAATGATGACATTAACGGAATGACAAGAATGAAATAAGATTTGCATTCAGATATAAAATTAAATCTAAGTATATACTTCTACATAGATGGATGATAAAAAATCCCACTTCAAGAAGTGTTGGTGATGAAAAGATATTGTACTCCAATTGTGTTATACATAATAATTGTTGTAACATATACCAATATGTGGATATAGTGCATGGATTTTAAAAGATATTAATTGCATATATATATATATATATATATATATATATATATATGAATCTTGCTTCAAAGTTTGGATCCCAAGAGGAAGAAAAATAATAGAAATCAAAGAAGATTTGGGTTTGTTCAAAACGGCCAGGTTAAATACGCCTGTGACATGAAATGTTTCATGATAGATACACAGAAGGCAACCTGATGGACACCAAGTTTCACATTGTGTTTGTCTTGACTTCCTTTCTCATTAAAACTCAAGTTCAGTCCTTTATGGGTCCATGTACCAAACAACGCCAAGCTCAAAAAATTTCTTCAAGCTAATGGAGCATGTGGAGGCGGACACTATTTGGTCATCTTTTCACGTGTACAACCCACCTATTTTCCATAAAAGCACACTAAGTTTGTAGTGTTCAAGTAATATAGATCGAATTACACATATAAGATAAATGATTTACTTCCAATCATTTATGTGATAGCCAGGTCAATTCAACCTGTGAGAGAGTGCGATGCATCGTCGGTGATTGTTTCTGCATCTGGTCATGTCGCATTAAAGGGTCCAGAGTGTGCAAATGCATCAAAGTTCGCCGGAACCAAGAAGACTGAACTTTTATGAATGTGAATTTGGACGCGTAATGTACACAAAGGGCGTAACTAGAGGTAGATGAGTTCCCACGATTTCCAGTTCAACAGCACATTTTGTGTATAGGATTATCTCAAATCCTATAAAGAAAGGCATACTATTTCATTCCTGAAACGAAATGCCTAATTAGTTACAAATGTCAAGTCCATTCCGATTCCACTTTCATGGATCATGAACGGTGGTTATCATGAAAAACCGCTATTGCATGGATATTTGAAAGATGCGGTTTTCTTTTATTTATCAATTGAGAAGATTAAAATAAAGTTCCAAGACTGAAAACGCACTGGAGCTGAAATCTTTGTTTCTGTTCCGGTTGCCAAGACCCAGTTTCCCGGTCGTGGCAGTTTCTGGAGTTCCAGGCCCCGCTTGTTGCTTGGTGCAAAATCGTGGGTTCACTGCGAAAGTAGAGGATCCATTCGGCGCATGGGCAGCGATGATTTTTGACAGTAGTAAGTCCTGGCTGTCCATCCGTTGTCGGTAACGGCGTCATCAAAACTCGCGTCCATGTGGAACCGGTTGTTCATGTGAATCGGCTTCTGGTAGAAAAACAAAGAGCAATTTGAGGTCGAGTCCAAACGAGCAATTTATTTGACATCCACTGTTCTTTACACCTGCTCAGTAAATTAAATCCCTTCGGAAATCGAGACGAGGATTTGTGTCCATGTTAAGAATCTGCTACAGAGTCTCGCTTCACACAGTTCTGAGATTTCTGCACAACTGCGGGCCCGGCCCCACCAACATCCTTGCGACGTACATTTACATGGCAGCGGGATACGACGGAAAGCTTTAGACAGGCTGCTCCTCAAACACTGTGGGAACATCGAGCTCACAGTAGCCGGCTTCCATCCACTGCGGGTATGGAAGACCCTTGGATTTGAGAAAGTCCACATTGAATATCTTGCCCTGATATCTAGTACCCAGATCGCAAAGTACAGTGACGATGGTGTGGCCTGGGCCGAGCTCCTGGGCTAATTTCACAGCTCCTCCGATGTTGATACCGGTGGAGCCGCCCATACAGAGTCCTTCTTCTTTCAGAAGATCGTAGATCAAAGGAAGCGCTTCCTCGTCAGAAACCTGACACCAGAAGTCGACTGAACCTCCTTCCCTGGTCGGCACTCCCCAGCCTTGTAAATTGGCAGTCACTCGGCCCTGCCCTATGCCTTCAGATATCGAGCTACCTGAAGACTGAAGCACGCCTGTGGCGTAGTAGCTGTACATAGCCGCTCCCATAGGATCGGCCATGCCGATTCTCACAGCAGGATTCTTCTCTTTTAGATACTGTCCAACACCAGCAAGAGTGCCACCGGTTCCAATAGCACAAACGAAGCCATCCACTTTCCCACCGGTCTGCGCCCAAATTTCTGGTCCGGTAGTTTCATAGTGCGCCTTGCGATTCGCTGTGTTATCGAACTGATTGCCCCAGATTGCACCTCCGGGATGCGTCTTGGCGATAGATTCGGCTAATCGGCCAGAGTACTTGACGTAATTGTTGAGATTCTTGTAGGGCACCGCAGGGACCTCGATCAGAGTTGCCCCGGCAATTCGCAGCATATCCTTCTTCTCCTGACTTTGCGTGTCCGGAATAACGATGACGGTCTTATAACCCTTGGCATTGGCGACGAGAGCAAGTCCAATGCCGGTGTTGCCAGCCGTGCCTTCCACAATCACTCCTCCAGGTCTGAGAAGGCCTCTCTCTTCCGCATCCTTGATAATATACAACGCTGCTCGGTCTTTCACGGATCCCCCGGGATTGAGAAATTCAGCTTTCCCGTAGATTTCACAGCCCGTAGCCTGAGAAACCTTGTTTAGTCGGATGAGGGGCGTGTTCCCCACAGAATCGATGAATCCTTGCCGCACGGCGGCGAAATTTCCCAGCGATGATCGCGCCGATGTGGCCTTCGTCCGCACCCGCGAAACGTAGCGCGCATGTCGTCGACCCTGAGCGACGGACGCGAAGGAGCGCGGAACAATGCCCGAGAAGAACTGGCTGTGCCGCGCAACCAGAGTCTCCATGGCTCCGCCCTCGAAGCTCTGTCTGTCCCTCCCTCCCTCCCTCCCTCCCTCAGCGACACTCACGAGCACCGAGAGCGCCAAGGCCCCGGACGAGCCCAGCTCGCAACGTAAGTACTCTCCCTCCCTCCCGGGCTGTACCCTAGCCAGATGGCACTGCTATCACGTCCACGTGGCCGCGTCCGACGACCCTTCGGGACGCATTTCCGTCTGTGTTCGACTTTCGCGTCGCAGGGCGACGACGGAGTGAGCGTCTCGCGTTCGTACGGAAGAGGACCACGGACGACTTTCGACTTCCACGGTGGAATCCACGGTGGCAGGCATCACTTCAGCGACGGCGACGACGGCGGTTCGGAAACGGATATCTCTTTGCTTTCCTCCATGTACTGGAACAAGTACTCCCTCTCTCTGGTAGTCCTTCGATGATACCCTGTAATGCCACGGGATCATGCTCCAAAGCTGCATTCCATGTATTGAAAGCCGCTAGACACCTCTATGAATATGTCTAGTTGACTAGTGTTGTGGTCCACAAATGTGCAGCAACCGGAGTACGGTCCGAGGAGAAGGTTTTCATCTTCAACCTCATCCTCTTGACTCTACATGGATACAGAGGAATAGCAGCGCACTGCGTTGCGGCGAGGTTCAAACGGCACACACAGAAAGAGCTAACAATGTCCGACCCGAAACGTATTTGAATTCTTGTAGTGTTCGCGTCGCTGAGAGATTTGTTCAGAGATTTCAATCTAGAAACAGATGTGTGAGAAAAATAATATCGGCGCCTCCCGTGGGAAAAACGACCCAGATCGACACTCCATACCATGAGGATCTTAACTTACACCGGCCAGCAGAAGGCACTAATTCAGAAACTGTCACACTTGATGATTCTTGCACGTGTGTGACGAAAAGACATGCTTAGCGAAGAAGTAGAAAATTGAAGATTGCCATCGTTTGCCGACGTGTGAAACTCAGTAAACGTTCGTCCGAAGTCATAAACAAATGTTGCTGATGTGATCCACAATAACTGAACCACAGTAAAAAACAAATAGACGCGCCCATAACAAGAACTCCAGTTTAGAAAGAAGAGAATGAGCAACTCAACGGCACCAGTCATTTTTGCTATGGAACACAGCACACAAATAGTCCTCGATGCACGATCTCCAGAGTATAACCATTCAAATGAGATTTCAAAGCAAACAAATCCCTTCTTTATTACACTTTTTACACACATGGACTTACAAAATTCATGCTGATGTGTAGATCCGCTTAGATTCCCTCAGTTACTGATGACCTCTTAGATTTTCAGGCGTAAGAATCAAGAAAAAAACTGACAATTGCCTTGAGCAAACAAATCGCCAGCATGACATCAGTATCACCCACTGTCCTCAGCACCTGCTCCTTTCAATCATACCCAGCACCGCTTGAGGTGCATTGCGTAACAAAGAACAACACCCAGGAGCTCCGAGCTGCAATGTCCCAGAGCCGCACCTGGAACAATTTTGTCACCCCACCAAGAGGGAGTAAGGACGTTAGAGCTAACTTGCCATTCGTACTTCCACTCTTGAGGCACAGTGAAGAAAACCTCCTCAGGGTTCAGACACATGAACCTTCTTCGTTAGCCACCACGTTTATGAGAACCAACGGAGACTACATTGTCCAGCGAAGGTGGAATTTTTTTAGGCAAGACCAAGACCATGCTCTTTGGACCAAAAACCCTCTGTCTACCTCCTCTGTTCACGTCTATCTTAAGGTGCAATGGTTGGCAGTTAAGAACTTAAGAGGACAATTTCGAACAGAAGCTACAGAAGACCGCTGATTCACGAAAGGCCGAAGGTGTCTTCAACAGCATCGAACAGAGTGCCCAGCATTGCTGAAGAAGGCTGGAGCAGAAATGCAATGAGCAGATAAGCTCTTCCTCGTGGCAGTACTAGACTGCCCGCCTCGCCGAGTGGCCAGCGACTGAAGGTGACACAAGCTCTGTCATCCTCGTGTGGAAACACCGGGTCCAATCATTCCCGTTGGAGGGTTTCCAACAGGTGTTGCATGCGGTGCTTCATGACTGGCTGCCCCCGACCTGTCTTCTTCCTCATTTTGTTTTGCGCCTCTTTCCGCTGACGCTTTGCTTTCTCTCTGGCATCTTTTTCCCTGGAAAACTGCTCTTCTCTCTCCCTTCTCTCTCTTTCCTCTTCCTGTTTCTTCGACTGAACCTCTTCACTCAATTTTTCCAGCTGCGTAGGTCCTCGTTCTTCTCGTTGTCTCTTCTCAATCTTTCTTTGCATCTTGAACTGAAGGCTCTGATTACCCTTAATGAAGAGCGGTTTTCTAATTGCACCAGCCCTTTTTGGCGCTCGGCTACCCTCAACTGCATCTCTGACTTCATCGCGAACCTACAGATATTACGGTGAAGGCAATATTGGCAGCACACAAATTGGTGAGTGCCAGAACTGAAAACGGAGCAAGGAACTCGCCAATTTTTCCAGCTCAATGACGGGTATGCGAATTTAAATGATCCAACACTAAAATTCATCTCATATTCGGAGGAGTAAAACGGATCCAATTTCAACATCGAATACAGCGGGTTGCAAAGAGAACGAAATGTTGGCGCGTGACAAGCACACAAGGAGATAGAGTGCGCACTTGTTCGCGAGTTTCAGCGCCTGAGACTTGTCCTTGCTCGTTAAGCTGCTTGACGATTTTTTTGTACTGATTGACCTTCTTGGCATTCTGATAAAACTCCCGGTGCTCTCCTGCAATATCCGAATGTGTAGAAATTCAACTCCCAACGTGATTCCAGGACTTCCTACAGCATGCGTGAGACATCGTAACCTCGCGATCTCGAGAGAAAAGGTTTGCGAGGCTCAGACGGAAAAATGAAAAGCAGAGTTCGCAGCTTACGGATTTGAGCAGGGTTGATGGCCGGCTTGCTCTTGGCTCCGACGAAGGCCTCCAAACTCAGACCTCCCCCGCCGAGCTTTTTCTTGGCTCTCTGCTGAGGCTTGAATTTCGACAGACCAGGCCCACGAGCCCTGTCTCCATCAACATTCCGCGGCTTGCCTCTACCCTTCATTGCAGGAAATGCCAGGAAACTCGCATGTCGAGCACCTCACACTGTGAAACCACGATCGAAAAAGAGGCATTCCATAGCTCTCGACAACGCAGTGAAGTTAACAGCAAGTTCGACAGTTTCTGCCACGCCCGCTCACTGGCCCAGAAAAACCCTAAGCCCTTTTCCTGCTCTGATTTTGACGAAAGTGCACTCCCTGGATCTAACGGGCATTCGGAGAAGACCTCAGCATCTGTGTAACGTAGATGCACCAGAATAGATGTGGCAGGATGCCCACATGAAGGCGTAAGAAACACATCCACGTCCCATTAGCTAGACATAACACCTGAAAGAATAATCATAGTATACAATGCAACATTTTTCACTACTGAACCACTCTCTATTTTCTATTTTGAGGGTAAAGTCAAAAAGGGGGTTCGGTTGCCCATACTGGAAAAGTGGTACTGGATCCTTCACGTACTCTCCAAGAGTACAGAATCATTTCCTTGTGATCGCCAAACCAGTAACAGAGTAAAAAAATCATCGCCAAGGATAATATCAATACAAATAACTCGATAGTAATAACTAAAATTAGTTATTTAAAGGAAAAAAGTACATATATTTCTTCATCATCACATATCATTAGAACTAAGTACTGCTCAGCAAAAATTAGGCTTGACTCTGGTTAAAATAAGGCTCACCTTTAGAAAAGACAAGCAATTCCTTGTCTGGTGATATCAGTGCAAACATTCATGCATCTTATCGCAACGTAGCCCAGTCCAAAGATCAAGCGTCCATTCCCTTCCAAGATTGAGCCTGGCCCATGTTAAAGCATACTCCATATAGAGGGTCAAACTATAACAGATATTATAATCTTAATTTTTAAAACCTTGATTGCACAATAATATTGAGATAAATCCGGATCAATTCGCTTGGATTGTTCCAGCTCTTCCTGGTTTGCCCTCCGGAAAACTGTGCTTTATCAGCCTCTCAAATAAGGGAGATTCTTTCAAGTGGCAAGACAGAAAAAGGCTCGCAAGGAGGTAGCATGAGCATGTTCCTGATGCTTACACTACGCTATACATTCCTTTTGAAAGCTGATCTTCGCAATCCTTAACAACCTTTCATCTAAAAATTATTTTGTGTAGGTTCAGTAGCAAGTGCTCTCTTAGCTATCCTAGTTGGATCATTCTTTATCAGCATATGCTTGAAGCGATAAGTATTGAAATTAAAATGATACTTCCACATACTACATGGCAAATCTAGGTTATATGAAGCCTAGTCTGAAGTAAACTGAATCTTAAATGATCCAATTCAACAGGCAAACAACTCTTTAAGTAAACTCTCAATATATAATGAGGTAGTTGTCCTTCAACTAGATCAAATCTTTGTCATCAAACTCCATATATTGAAAGACAACTTTCTTCTACTAAGCTTGAACTTTTTGTATCTTCTCCTAAGAAAAAAAGGTGAAGGTCAAATGGGTATTTTTAACATTAGTAAACTCAAGCTGAATGCTTTGAATTTCATACAAAAGTATTGATTTTAAGTAGATAAATAAATAATCAATCATGATACAGAATGTAACATATGTAAAAGGTAAAGTCTGATAAACACATTGAAACATTCAAGCCAAGATATCAACACGAAACATAGAATTAACATAAAAATAACGCGATTCACTATCAAGAGGATGGTTACGTCCACTGTGAAGCGTGATGCTTTACTCCAAGTCTTGTCACAAAAGACTCTCTATACCAACCTGAGTTTTAATCCCAATATAGGCAACCATCCTAGCTATTTATAGCTAAGACCCAAGGCTACTCCTTAACTTCATGGGGGAGTAACCTCTGGAGTAAATAGTTAAGAGGGAGATTATTTCTCCCTTAACTCTCGTTAAGAAAAAAATTTATCTCTATAACCTACATATTACTCCGCGGTAAGTTTTAGATAGAAACCTACCACAAGGCTAATTCTTTACACAAGAGTTAACCAGAATTAAGTCGTAGTTATAATAGGATAGAATAATAATATAAAGAAAAATCTGCTAGCATAGAGGGAACAAAAATCTTATAATCTATATAATTATTTCTTATTTTTCATTTTAGAAAGAAAACTAATACATGTTCCTTCTTTACACAAGAATTAAATACAACTAAGCCGTAACCATCACAATACAGAACAAATATATAAAGAGATAACTGAAAATACTATGCTAGCCAATTTTAGCTGTGCTTCCCATGCACAATATGCATGGTAGCAAAATGTTGACTGAAACTCTTCAAAGTAACAACTTTGATCAACTCATCAACTAGATTGAATATACCGTTAAACTTGACTAGCCCTATCATTTTATCAGACACTTTTGTTTGAAAAAAATACCTAGTATCATTGTGCTTTACTCTACTATATATAAACTAACATGTGTTCATCTCGATCATTGACCACATAATGATCAAACTTTTTCACAACCATACCCGTGAGCAAAGATTTTTCTCTAGTTAAGAGATCCTGAAAATTCTCTACATCTTTCAATGATCTAGATTTATTACAAGACACACACCTACTAACAAGAATCTTACAATCTATTGCAAACTTGCTTTTTCCAAATCAAGTAATTGCGTCACGCATTGAATGAATAGTATGACATTATACCCAAAACCCCCGACTTGTCTTGTGGCATCTCTGAACTACTTAACTAGATACAAAAGCTTGTGCATCAATTTTTTCCATCTAGATCATTTGTCAGCTCTTGAAATTGATCTAGATGCACTAGTCGCATCAAGAGCATTTCAACAATATTCAATTTGTCTATATTTTGACAAAGATTCTTTTAGACAAAATATTTACAAAATGAATGTTTTCTTTGACATACACAATATTTTTGACGTATAGAATCATTCGGACGTAATCTTTTGGACGGTCTGACGGACTTGCCTAGTCTATACGCCATGTGTTGTCCGCACTTGCAACTGTGACCCGCGACTGATTGCTACCCGTGACTGTACCTCACCGTCGCCAATGACTCACCATCATCATCGGTTGTCCCAATCAACATTGACTATCAACCATCAAACAGCCGTAAATCACACTTGATCCGCCTACCACGGTTTGCTCGACCAATTGTGGTTTTCTCACCTACCATTGTTCGTCTTGCCAACTGCGGTTGAGGCCGTTGCTACCCTCTCCTTGCCACTCGATGTTGATCCGCGGTCGGATCCAGTTGCATTACCATGCCGTTGTGGCATGTAAATATCACTCGTTCGGTTGCTCTGGCCACCATCCTAATCGTCGCTCGAGACGTAGTGTTGGTCAATGGGATATCAATGGGAGAAGTTGGCCCTACCGCTCGGCTCCGTCACATGCCATTTTTTCTCCTTCCGTGCAGCTCAAGGACACGTGGCACGGCAAGTGCATAGGTGTGCACAACAACTAGGGTAAATATTTTGCGATTAAAATTTGTGAGTTTAATATTGCATTATAAAATATTGTACAAATTTGAACTTGTACAATGATTCAAAACGAATGTAAACGCTTTATAATCCAAGGATATGACTTGGGAGAAGCATTTGTGAGACTACGGACACCGAAATTTTTCTAAACATTGCAATTTGAGCATATCGAACAAGTCCACACCTTTTGTTGGCGATCGACCTCGGAATTCTATATGTAGTCTATTCGATTTCAACAAGTTCGCTATATGCAACCAAAAAGACTCTAAAGTTGAGATGCTTGTAATGCAATTTAGTTATCACTGCCAAGGTTGATCATTAGAAAGTGCATGTAATGACATGCACCAAGCATTCTCAATCTATGATCGGCTCAATGAACATTGTGTCGCAAATGCAATCCAATGATGTGAGGATTCACCTCAAGTTTTCATCATCATCAATAATTAGTAGTTCGTCAAAGAAAAAAGCCAAGTTGAATCAATCATCCATGGATGTAGAGGATGAGGAGGTTGGAGAGCTGATATCGTCCCACAAATCAACAAATCTTCATCGGACCAATTCATGATCTTTCGTTGATTATCTCTTAGTCGAAGATGATCATAATCTAGACATTATGTTTGCAAATGCAATGCATCATCATACGGTTACTCCATTCATCTCCTTCCATCATTCATTATGGAAGAAAGTCTTGAATGCGCTTTGACATGTTTGAACTACTCTTACTTCTCGAACTATTGACACCATTCTACTAATGTCTTCGTACGCCGATGTCATGAACTAGATCTTTCGTAGTTTGCGGTAATATTATTGTATATGTTTTTCTCTAGATAATGCGACAAACGTGCAAAGCAAATAGCTATTGAATATAATTCCATGTGTTTCAAAAGTTTTTTCTTCAACATTTTGCTATGAAATTGAGTTGAGAGAATGTTCACAATCTTCTGGCCAAGTTAATTTAGACAAAAGAGCAATTGATGGTGACTTTAGCTGCTCCTACTGATGATGTGGAGCAAAACCAAGATATAAAACCGCTTTCTTCTAATCTATTGATTTGAATTATGTTCTTGTTTACTTCAAATAGTCTCAATGTAATGGTTTTGCTTCGCAAGAAGGTGTTACAGTTGCCAGACTTCAGTGTCGCATTTGGCTGTACTTCACATGGTCAGAATAATTTCACATTGGATATTTTCAAGAACTTTGATATTCTGAAAGCGAGTGTTAAATGTTACATCTAATGAAAATCATTCGCAGTATTCATCTCCTTTATTTTCTCTATGACACCTTCTGTGAAAAGAAACTTGGAATCATTTATGTGTTCATTATCTTCAACAAATCTCGATGGACCACAAACATGTATGTATACGCTCAGCTGAACTTGATCAAGATGGTTTTTTCTCTTCTTCCTTCTGTCATATCTGTTGATTAAATGAATATCGATAATGATGAGACTGTGAAGACAACGTGAGACACCGTGTTCTTGATATCATCTTCTACAAGCAATCAACAGCTATGAAAGTTTGCCTCCGGCCCATTTCTGCAACCATTGAATATTTGGAAGTCAATGCTTCTACATTCTCCTCCATTTAGGCGTGTTTTTTATTGATCAAGATCCACATTGTATCTCTCTTAAAGCAGACTCGCACAATTTTTGGTCTATAGAAAGATCATCATATCGAGGAGTTTGTCGAGTTGCTTCACCGACGATTAGACACAATCTATTCTTCATTCATCGCACAAATCCATATTAACATCTCATCGATGTTGAG